TCCCTTAGAATGAGAAGAACATCTTTCTTTGGTGTCAGTGCTAGAAGGTGTTGTAAGTCTTCATAAAATTGGTCAATTTCAGCCTCTTCAGCATTGGTGGTTGGTACATAAACTTGGATTACTTTGATGTTGAAAGGTCTGTCTTGGATTCGTATTGAAATCATTCTATCATTTTTGAGATTGTATCCCAGTACAGCTTGTTCCACTCTTTTGTTGACTATGAGGGCTACTCCATTTCTTCTACGGGATTCTTGCCCACAATAGTAGATATGATAATCGTCTGAATTGAATTCACCCATTCCCATCCATTTTAGTTCACTGACGCCCATGATGTCGATGTTTATTCTTATTCTTGCCATCTCCTGTTTGAACACACCCAGCTTCCCAAGGTTCACAGATCTTATATTCCGGGTTCCTATGGAGTATTTTTCTTTGTAGCATCAAACTTTCCTTTCACTTCCAGGCATGTCCACAGCTGGGCGTCCTTTTGGCTTTGGCCCAACCACTTCATTAGCTCTGGTGCTACTTGTACTTGTTCTCCACTCTTCCTCAGTAACATGTTGGATGCTTTCCGACCTGAGGGGCCCATCTTCCAGCATCTTATCTTTTAGCCTTTTGTTTCTGTTCATGGGGTATTCTTGGCAAAGATACTGGAGTGGCTTGTCAATTCCTACTCCAGGTGGATTGCATTTAGTCTGAACTATCCACTATGATCTGTCCATCTTGGGTGTTCCTGCACGGCATAGCCCATAGCTGCTTTGAGTTACCCAAGCCCTTTATCCACGACAAGGCAGGAATCCATGAAGGGGATATATATACTGTAGTAGCTAACGTCAAGTGCGTGGACCCCTAATTTTTATGTGGATTATGTGCTTACTCCTTGTCCACCTGACATATTAAGAAGACAACCATCACATTAAAAATACGACAAAATAACATTGTTGATGCTATCACTACTACTACAATGTCTTGGGAGGAAATAGATTTAACTAAAACAACTTACATTGTAATCCCATCTGCTCCTCAGTTGAAAATTCAAACAACCATTTAGCAACCTGTTGGGGTCTACCTTGACACTTAAGTCATCCGAATTGTGTGGCCACTTGGCAGCATCTTAATATATATTACTGTTACAAGAACAAACATAAACAGAATGTGAATTTAGTCTTTGTTTTCCCTGTTAATAATGGATGCCTGTTAGCTGTACAGTCTGAGGTTATGCACAGAATCCTTTCAAATACAAGGGGAAGAACCTGTGTTACTCATTCATGGATCTTTTTCTAAATTACATTTCAAGAAGCAGAGTTGCTGGTAGGTGGAAAAGATAACAAATTCTGCCTGGAGAAGATGTATTTTCTTTATAAGAAGCTGTAAGAGCTTTGTCAAAGATTTATTTTAACTCCCCAAACAACCAAGAGTCTTATGGCATCTTGAAGACTGGCAAGTTTTATTTGAAATAAGCTTTAAGTGGATTGAAACCCACTTCACCAGGTTCAGGAAACATTTCTTTGGCAACGCGTACCTCCGAGCCCTGCCAGGATTAAAAACAAAAATAACAAACCCTTCAGGAAAAGGCCAAAGCCCGAGGAAAGTAAAGGTCCACTCATTCACTCGCTCAGTGTCTTACCCCCCTCCCCCCTTCCCCTCCCCGAGCTAAGGCAGGGCAGGCCTGCTCTCGTTCGGCTGGGACGACGAAGCCAGCCGGGCCGACTGTATAGAGCCAAGGCCGGGGATTTCCTCTTTCCGTTCTTCCCTCTCCTCCTCCTCCTCTCTCCCTCCGGTAGCGGCCAGGCCAGGTTTCTTCCTCCCGCCGCGGTCTCTTTCTCTTTCTCGGCGACGCAGCTCCTGTGAGGCGGCGGCTGGAGGGGCGCAAGCAGGGCTGCGTTAGGGAGGAGTTGCGGGCGCGCCGCTGGGCCGGCCGGGTCTTCTCCGGGAGCCTCTCCG